TCTCGTGTAGATTATTGGCCCTGAATTACTTGTTTCTTGTGGCATCGGGTATAGGCGCACACGGTGTGCTGTTTCTAAAGTTAAACACCTTTCTTAGCCGCTGTGCCGGGGAGGAGGGTGGGGAGCAGGCCCTGGTCTCCCCGGAGCCCTTCTCCGGCAGTTGGGAACTCCCCAGCTGTGTTCCTCCGCCGCGTTCCCATGGCTGCACTCCCGCCTCTCCCCCACCTCACACCGCAATGACAGCGCTGCGTCTTCTCCTCCTTCAGCTGCTCTGCTGCTGCCCCCGAGGCTGGAGGGCCCCCTCTCCCCGCCTCCAGCCACCACCCCTGGTGGTCTCCTGCTGGGGCCCTCACCGACAAGTCTCTCAGCGGCGGGACGATGAGCGCTGGGTCTCATGCCTGTGGAACAGCACCATGAACTTGCGTTACCAGCCTGCCCCAGGAGCAAGACCGGAGGCAGAGAGGAAAGAGGGGCGGCCACCACCCCCACCACGCTGCTTCTGGTACCTGAACTCGGCCTGGGTGAAGAACACCTCGCGCTGGTCAGGCCAGGTCATGCTGCAGACAGGCCTCCTACCAGCAGGTGCTCCTCCACCTGTGGCCTCCAGCCTCCTTACGGTGCAATGCTCATCTGCCTCATGCGCTGCACCCGAGTGCTTTCACCACAACGTGAGCATTGAAATGTCTGGGCAGGATATGCGGCTGTTTGTGCTTTGGCCGCAGACGCACCTGATCCGCGCGTGGCAGCCAGTAGAGCTGGGCTGGTGTGCACGCCTCAAGAGTGCCAGCTGGCAGTACCGCTTCAGCAGCCAGGGGGGCAGCCCCTCTACCCTTCTCCTTCCCAGCAGTGAGCACCAAGACACGCCACCACCTGCTGTCTACCCAACAGCCGAGTTGCAACAGACCTGTGCCACCTACTACAGCTACCGCTTGACTGTGCGCTATAGGCACCATGGGCTCCACGTTGCTTCCGTCAGCATCAAGCAGATGCCTCACGTAAGCCTCAGCCTCTCTCTCAAAGTAGAGCCTGACTTGCTGCATGTCCTCAGTGTCGGCTCCAAGCTCCTTAGTGTCCCTCAACAGCCCCTCAGCCTCTCCTGGAGGCTTCAGCCCCTTACACCAAGGACACTGGCCTACAGACTGGTGGACACGCAGGCTATAGGAGGTTGGCTCCGTTCCTACAGTTCCTTTACTCTGCAGAGCAACTTCTGTGGCACTCCCACACCTCAGAGCCTGGGTGAGGTGGTGGTGGCCAGCATTTATTTTCATGTTGATGGAAAGAGGTTCGAGGAATTGACAGGAGAACTACATCTACTCAATGGTACCCTGAGCCTATCTGCAGGCAAAGAAACTCCCACCCATGTCAACCTTCACCCAGGAAAGACCAACAGGAGCACTTACATTTTCAGGTACAATCACAGAATGTTTTACACAACCAAAGAAAACAACAGCCCTATTTCCACAGATGGCCCTAACACACGGACAGTGTTCTACCAACACAAGGAGCTCTCCTACCTACTCTCCATAGAGTTCGTGGCCTTCCAGTGGTACAAGTTCAATATGTACCTTTATATGAATCAGAAGAGGGCTTTGTTTAGGTCTCTGGCAGAAAGAGACCTTGAAGTCCATGTTTTCAGCAGTGGCCGTCCTTCTTTTCTGCAAAGCTTTACTTATTTAGTGTGGTTTATCCCTGCACAACATCCGATGCTACAGTGCGAGTGGACCTTCCATCTGCAGCTTTTTGGAACACAAAAAGACCACCTTCTCCAGAATAGCACATACACATACAACGATCATGTAAGAAACGCCACACGTTTTGTTCGTCGCTCTGCTTTACCCTTTGATCCAGAGAAATACACGGGGTTTGTGGCAAAAGTGAACTGTACCAGAACTGCACATACACCAGCTCTCTTAGGAGTCAGAGTCAACAACTATGCTGCAAAAACCATAGAAGCACCAGTGTCTTGCCAGAAACAAGCCTGTTACATACACACCGTGTGGATTCAGAGACCTGTTCTTCACACCTCTATCCTGCGCCAGAAAAGGGGGACATCTTTCTCTCTCTTTGTCAGATTGCTAGTAGACTGCAGCATCGGTATAACTGTCAAGCCCTTGTGGCGAATCTATCCCGTTCCAGACACAACAACTATTCCAGACTGGGAAAAACCAATGAACTCTTCTTTGATGTATGGTGTAGACATGATACTCATAACTGTTCCCAGTTTTACTTTAGATTATGGGTTGTATCTGTTTTATTTCACTGTTGAGATAATTCCAATTAGGACCAAAACAGTCCTCAGGGGCTCAGATAAAATTTTTGTTCAGATCGAGAGGACCGACCTAGTGGCAAATATTGCAGGAGGCACGTTCCGCGCAGTGGGTTTTTCTGATAATTGGACTCTTGATGGCTCTGCATCCTACGATCCTGATTCACAGGAAGGACTAAAGGGAATCACATTTACTTGGTACTGCACTAAAGACGTGTCAGACTATAAAAACATGAAATTCAGCCCGGCAAAGAGATGCCATCCAGCCCAGAGGGATTTGAAATGGTTAACATCCTCAGGTCCAGTTCAAGCAATGCCACCAGAATCCCTCCCAGGAAACACTGTATACTACTTTCGTCTAGTGATTCAAAAGGATAGAAGGAGCAGTTATGCCGACCAAACTGTAGATGTGCAGCCCAGCTCCCCACTCCTTCTGGACATGACATGCCTTGAAAACTGTGGCAGCACTCTGATTCCAACAGAGAGATTTACTTTGTCTGGAAAATGCCTAAACTGCAGAACGAACAGCCAGCCAGTCTACTACTGGTCCCTTTTTTCAGAAAACTCTACAGAAATTAGCTTTGACTGGTCTTCCAGAACCTCAACAGGGAGGTCTGGGGCTTACCTGTCTATACACGCTCTGACTTTTACAAAGACTGCACATCGATCCTACATACTTCTGTTAAAAGTAACTACCTGGGATGGTAGGTCCTCAATCTACAGACACGCATTTAAGGTAAATTCTCCTCCTAGGGCTGGCAAGTGTACCATCAACCCACACTGGGGTACAGCCTTTCTGACAAAATTTGTTGTTCAATGCAGTGGATTTTCTGACAGCAATTTACCTCTGATGTATAAAGTGATAGTAGCTTCCAATGTACCGAAAACTACCAAAATAACTTCTGTGGAGGAAAATACATTTGGCACAATTCTGTACTTTGGTTATCAGCCTAAAACTCCTCCATCTTTTCTCCCAATTGGAGTGCCCTCCCAGAAGTACACCTTGACACTTTACGTTCAAGTCTGTGATTCCCTTGGGGCGTTTACCCAAGTGAATTTATATGTCCGCGTACGGAACCCAGTTAACAGTCGACCACTAGCTGCTGTGTTTCATGAACTGCTGGCCTCAGTGAGTGGTTTAAGCGCACCGATGACATCTTATCTCCAGACTGGAGACTATTTTAGCTCAGGTTATTTGGCTTATCTGGCAGCCTCAGTCTTAAACTATATTAAAGCCTCACCACCTTTCGAGCTCCTTAAGGCTCAGTTTCGGGAAAGCCTGATTAAAACAGTCCTGAATATTTCAGTTGAGAGCACAATGGAAATCAACCAAGTAGTTGCTTCTCTTTCTCAAGTCACAGAGGAAGCTGATGAATTGAACGTTAGATCACAAGACCTTGTCATTAAGAAACTGATAGAAGTAACGGGAGTACTGAAGATAGAGAGGAATGAGACCCATTGGTCTGAGGAAGCAGAAATTCAGACCAGTGGAATACTAAGATGCTTGTCCAACATCCTGAGAGCCGCTCGCCTGCATCGCAGGAACGTCAATGTACGTGGAGTTAAGCAAGTCTTCTCCATCATGGAAAATTTAACAGAGATAGTTTTCCAGGGCAAAGTCCCTGGAGAAACAGAAACTCTAATGGAAACAAAACACTGGAATATCACTCTGAGGAAAGATGAAACCTGGAACATCGCAAATGCTTTCTCTACCAGAAACACCTGCAGGAATTGCTTTTATCCATCACTGAAAAAGGGAGATTATTCAGGATTGCCCCACGAGGCTGTGATTTCCACTGCCCTTTTTGAGTTTGATGAGAACCCCTTCCCTTGGCTAGGTTACACATCAGAAATCACAACAATGGTCTTGGGGTTCAAAATGGCAGAGACCAAGGCTAATGGGGATCTACTAGGGATTGTGCCTGAAGGAGCAGAAATTACTATTGCTAGGAAAGATAAGGAATCTTCAGCTTTTCAGTTAGCAATGGGACCTGATAAAACACAAGCTTACACAACTGGAGGATTTAGTTTCGAAGTCAACAGAAATACTAAGAGCATATACATCCAGATCCTGACAAAATTAAAAGTTACTTTTAAGGTGCTAGTATTTACAGGTGCCAATGTCACTCATGCTCAACCCATAGCCTCGTTTTCTGCTTTTCACAACATGCCAACAGTTGCAAACAAAAATGAGACGGCTAGCACTGACTGTAACATTAAGGCTCCCTATATTATCTGTCTCCCAGAGTCACTGCTGACAGCCACAGCTCAAGGAAGCAGTACAGGCACTCATAATATCTCCATTGTCTTACTGACACCCTATGTCGTAAGGTATCAAACCCAGAGACTGGTGAGCATACACGTTTTCAGCGATCAGTGCTTATTTCTGGATGGGGTTCGCAGTCTGTGGAGAGAAGACACGTGCAGGCTTGGCTCCTTGACCGACTGGCAGAGGGTACACTGTGTCTGCAATATGAAGCGGAGTCGCAGAAGTCTGTCAGTCCACACTGCGTCAAACGCATCCACGTTCGACATCAGGTTCCTGGCAGCCAAAGTAATAGTTACCCCCAACACAGTAGATCTGGGAAGAGCCCTGATAGCAGACATACCTAAAAACCCAGTGACCCTCTTAACAGTGCTCTTTATTTTTGCTGTCTACTTTCTTTTGTCCCTCTGGGCCATGAAAAAAGACAGGGCTGACAGGAACAGCAAAGACAAGATTATAGTTCTGCCAGACAACGACCCCTTTGATAAAGTGAGTTTTTTGGTCACTTTATACACAGGCAGTCGCTGGGGAGCTGGAACCAAAGCAGATGTCTTTCTTCAGCTCATCGGCCAGAATGGCATGAGTGATGTCCATTGTTTACGGCACCCACATTTTCCATCTTTCCAACAAGGAAGCACTGATTGCTTTCTGTTAACTACTAAGAAAGACTTGGGAGACATTTGTTCCTTCAGGGTCTGGCACAATAACAAGGGCCCATCTCCAAGCTGGTTCTTAAGCAGAGCCAAAGTTGAGAATATGTCCACCAGGAAGACCTGGTTCTTTATGTGCAGGAAATGGCTTTCTCTTGACAAGGGTGATCACTTACTAGAAAGGACATTTTCCGTCACAAACCCCAAGACACCTCTGCCCAGAATCGACTATTTTTTGATTAATCTTGCCAACAGCCTGACAGAGGGCCATTTGTGGCTCTCGATTTTTGCTCACGTTCTCACTGGCACTTTCAGCAGGCTCCAAAGGTTGTCTTCGTGTTTAGCAATATTATTATTAAACTTGCTTGTTAACATTATGTTCTTTAATGCTGACAAGAATGAAGAATCTCCAATACACTTGAGGTATTTGAGATCAATAACAGTAGGAATTGAATGTGCTTTGGTTACCATACCTGTGGAAATTATGATAATTGCCTTATTTAAGTATTCCCAGAAGGAACCTTCTCCTCATGGTGTGGCCCAGACGGACCCACATGCAAGTTCACCCCTCCTGTCTCGATATCTTAAGAACTGGAAGGAACGTTTTGAAAAATTGTACCTTTCAGAAACTTCAGCACAATCGAGGAATATTAGTCCCCTGGAGAACCTTCCTGGTCCCAGCAACTCACAGAGCCCACCATGTTCCAGAAAGACAAGAAGCAAGGGAGCTCCCCAAAACTGGAGTAATTGCACAGTTTCTGAAAGAGATGCAAATGTAATTGGAACGGAGGAGCAGACGATAGCCACGAATTCCCCTCCAATGGCTAAGGCCTGCCAGAGAAGACCACCATCAAATTCCAATTTTAGTAATAATTACGCAGAAGAAGGGGACAACTTTCAGAAAGAAAGGAAACCACTAAACATTACCACCATGCCCTTTCACAAGAGACCGCGCGTTATTTTTTGGTGGTGGTGCGTCTATCTCTCATGGGCACTAGTTATAGCTGTCACTGGGCTATCATCATTTTTCATTGTGTTATATGGTTTGTCTTATGGCTATCAGACTTCACAAGAGTGGCTTTTAGCGTCTGCAATCTCCTTTATTGAGAATGTGTTTCTCCTTTCAGTTCTAAAAATCAGTTTTTTCTCAGCTATGAGTACAATTCGTCCAAAATACTGTGAAAACATCACATGGTTAACTCAGGAAAACTATTCTGAGATTAAGTTGGCTAAAGAAACAATGAGTGATGATGAGATGAGAGAGATGCACTTGAAACTTGCTAAAGTCAGAGGCACCAAGCAGTATAAGCCTTTAGAAGCTGATGAAATTGCGATCATGCTGAAAAGGGCAAAAATTAAAGTCAAGGCATTTATTTTTGTAAAAGGTTTCATCAGCCACCTTGTCTTTTTAACACTGCTATTAAATTTTGCCTATTCCCCTGAGAACACCAACAGTTTCCACTGCAACCGATTCATCCGTAACCAATTCTCTCCACAACTCTCCAGTGTAGAGAAGCTAGAACATATCTATGTGTGGGTGAAGGACTTGTTCTTGCCTTTGATCCACAATGACATTCAGCCAACCTTTCTTCCCGACAGCTGGTCCAAAATCATTGGTTTGCCTAGGATGAGGCAAGTGCGGGCTAAAGGTACTGAGAAAAAATGTTTCCATCCTCACAGCTTTGTAAATAACTTTGTGATCAGTAAAAGCCACTGTCTTCACAAATACGGCAGTGACATCCCAGAGAAAGGTGACTACGCTGGCACTTGGGCCAAGGTTGCCAACCAGTCTGTTTCCAAGGATGCCAGCAGTTACGGTGGGTTCACTCACCAGCGAAACAGGACTCCGTGGATGTATTATTCATATGGAGATTTGCACACATATGGACCAGCAGGGTACACGTTTTACTTTTTCCCTGGAGAAGGAAGACCTAATTCAACGACAAGGCTGGATGCTCTACAACAGAGCAACTGGCTTGATGAAAAGACATGGGCTGTGATCATTGAACTAACTACATTTAACTCAGATGCAGATCTCTTTTGCACCATCTCAGTCATATTGGAAATGTCTCCTTTTGGGATCATAAAACCAAGTTTGTCAGTACACTCTTTAGCACTCCCCATTTTTCATCAGCAAACTAAAGCTCAAATGTTTGTGTTTGTAATTGTTCTTGCCTTTCTGTTCATTTACATTGCAGATGAGCTTCACATCATAGGCCAAGAAAAAAAAGATTACGTTAAAAACATTTCCAATATAATCAACTTTGGTTTAAAATCAGCATTCCTCCTTTGTGTTTTTTTAAAGGTCATAAAGTTTAAGGTAGGAGCAGATATAGTGAAGTTTTACTTACTTCACCCAAATGATTTCATTCCTTTTCATGCAGTTTCTCATTTAGATCAGATTTTAAGGATTACTATGGGCTTTTTAGCATTTCTTGTAGTCTTGAAAACTCTAAAATATTCTCAATTTCTTTATGATGTGCGCCTGGCACAAAGATCGATCTCGGCAGCCCTTCCTGGAATCTCCTCAATGGCCCTCGTGGTGGTGGTGTACTTCTTTGTATTTATGGCTTTTGGCTACCTTGTGTTTGGGCAGCATGAATGGAATTACAATAACATGATTCACTCAGCTCAGACCATATTCTCTTACTGTGTGTCAGCTTTCAGAGATACCGCATTTTCCTCCAACAGGTTGCTGGGTGGTCTTTTCCTAGCCTCTTTCATGTTGGTGATGATCTGTGTCTTGATCAATCTCTTCCAAGCTGTTATTATGTCTGCCTATGGAGATATGAAACAACCCGTATATGAAGAACCATCTGACGAAGCACAAGTGGTTACTTTTGTATTGCAAAGGCTCAGAAGCATATTTTATCTTCTCATCTGTAAAATGTCCAAAACCAGTGAGCCTGATCTTTTTCACAGTGTACTCTATGGGCAGCCTGAGAGAAGACATCAGCAACGTTTAGGGCTCAAGAACAGAAAAATAAATGGAAAAAAAATGGTTTGTCTTGTCATATGAGCAAGGAAAGATTTTGTGTTCAAGATTACCTTCACTCTGTAATGCTTACATTTCAAATAAATGTTCATAAATAAATTATTTACTTTTAAGAATTTTTTAACATTCAAGCCCTTACTATTGATTGTGCTCAGATTTTCTCCAGACTATTTTGCATCAATTTCAGTGGTACTTGGCTGTCACGGTGTGGTGGGTTGACCCCGGCTGGCAGGTAAGCCCTCACCCAGCTGCCCGCTCACTCCCCTCCCAGCAGCATGGGAAAAGAATCGAAGCGCAAAAGTGAGAGAAAACTTGTGGGTCGAGATAAGTTTACGAAGTGAAGGGGGAAAAAAACCAAAACCGCAAATGATGTAAAAGCAGTCGCTCACCAACTGCAGGCGGATGCCCAGCCGGTCTCTGAGTAAAAGTCACTTTCAAAAAACTTCCCTCGGTCCAGCTTTCTTGCTAAGCCTGACCTTAGATCTCATGGCATTACTAACTCCGTGCCAGCCGGAGCCGGGACACGCAGGAACTGATGCCAGTGTCCCAGAGGTGACGCGTAAGGAGTGAGCTCAGGAGCCTGAGCAGGACCTTCGCCTCTGGCTGAGCACCTGCTAACACAAGAGCAAAAATGGCCTGAGATGTGAAAATGCCGATAAATCCTTCCTACTCAGAGCATAAGGACAAAAAAAAGACAGGACGAGTGAGCAGGGTGCGACCCGGCAATTAAAAATAAACCTTCACAACACCGCATTGCATCTGTATGCAGAAGACTGTCACGGTGTCCCTTTGGAAGAGGTTAACCGCGGGCTATCAAATCCCGTTAGATAGCCTGGGGGGGCGGGTAGGAGACTTCTGCATTGCAAAACCCTACCTGCGTGCTGGTCACTGTGTGACCGCCTGTAAGGGAAGGCTGCCCAAGCCAGCTGGGGAGACCGGTCAACTTGGTCAAAACCCCTGCTTCTTACTCATAAAGCTGGGGGCATCCTCCGGGCAGTTCACTTTGAATACAAACAGACCACAGAATATTTATTATTATTTTTTAAAATCTCACATGCTCTTCGCAATGCAATGAGTTCCCATCCAACGATGGGATGGTGTCGCCCACCGGCCCTCCGCCACCGGCTCCTCGCTGCGCTGGGCACGGCCAAGCCCGACCCGCCCTTTCCAAAGCCAAAACGCCTTCCCCCGCCTTGAGCTCCAGCGCCTGTCGCGATCGGCCCGTCCCGCACCGCGATGCGGGTCCGCCGGGGCTGGCGACCGGCAGCTGCGGGGGGAAG